AGAGCAGGACACGTGACCCCCTTTAGCTCCTCTCACCAAACGACAACCCGTTTGGTACCAAATAAATGGGCTTCAGCCCCCTTGAGCAGCCAGCGCCCCTCATTCGAGCAGACCCAGAGAACTTCTGGGATGGGGCAACGTGAGGGCGGTGGAGGTCCGAGCCCAGCCCAGTTGGAACGCCAACGGCGGAAGGACAATCGGGAGTGTTTCCGGTGCGGAGAGTCGTGGGTTGGTGGTCACCGGTGCAAGACCGGTACGCTCAAGTTGCTGGAGGTCGCGACAGGTGAAGATGACGAACCCGAACCAAAGGGGACACCACCAGAGGAAGGCCGCGGTTGCACGGACTCGGAGGAAAAGGATGGATTGATGCTCCTCCAACCGGATCTGAGGCTGCAAGCTTTAGCGGGGATTAATGGGGGCGATACCTTGAAGCTGTACGATCACATACAGAAAAAAAAAAAAAAAAAAAAAAAAAAAAAAAAAAAAAAAAAAAAGGTAACCATCTTAATCGATAGTGGAGCCAATTCCTCATTTATCAGTTGGAACATGGTTAAGGGGTTGGGATTAACGGTGTTCCCCATCTCGGAGTATACGGTCAAGGTTAGTGATGGGTATTGCGTGACTATTGATAGCATATGCCGAGGAGTGCGTTTGAAAGTGTCTAGGTTAGAGTTCGAGTTGGATTTATACCCGTTTGAGATACCGGGGCTAGATGTGGTCTTGGGGGCTGGATGGCTCAGGACATTGGGAACCTTTAGGGCCAATTTCCGACAGCTGTGGTTAGAATTCGAGCTGGCAGGGAAGGTCCACCAGTTGAATGGGGTGACGGCCTTGTCCAGAGAACCTATCTCAATTACCACCATGGCCAAGCTGGCCAACACGGGTGAGGAATGCTATTTGGTCCAGTGGCAGAATTCGTACTCCCCCAAACCCGGCGATGATGGGGCAAAACAGGCTTATGTGGAGGAGTTGGCAAAAGAGTACGAAACGGTGTTTTCGGAGAAGTTGGGGCTGCCACCGTCTAGAATAAGGGACCATGCTATTGTGCTTCAACCTGATGCAAAACCCCCGAATATCCGACCCTACCATTATCCTGATGCACAGAAGAATGAAATAGAGCGTTTGATTATAGACATGACGGTGGCTGGTATAATCAGACCCAGCCAGAGTCCCTACTCGAGCCCGGTGTTATTGGTCCGTAAGAAAGATGGGAGTTGGCGCTTTTGTGTGGATTACCGTGAGTTGAACAAGTTAACGGTACCGGATAAGTTCCCAATTCCTGTAATTGAGGAATTGTTGGATGAGTTACACGAGGCATCTTGCTTTTCGAAGCTGGATTTAAAGAGTGGGTACCACCAAATACGCATGAGACGGGAAGATGTCGAAAAAATGGCATTTCGGACGCACGAAGGTCACTATGAATTCCTGGTTATGTCTTTTGGGCTTACGAACGCTCCGGCTACCTTCCAGGCGATGATGACCGAGTTGTTCAAACCCCTGCTCCGGAAATTTGTTTTGGTTTTCCTGGATGACATACTAGTTTACAACCACAGCTCACAGGAGCATTTCGGCCATCTACGCACCGTGTTGGGGCTGTTGAAGGAAGGGAATTTTGTGCTCAACCTGAAAAAAAGTTTTTTTTTTCCAGGATTCAGTGGCATACTTAGGGCACCGCATATCACAGGAGGGTGTGGTGGCTGATCCAAGGAAGATACGGGCTATGGTTGAGTGGCCAATCCCAACCACAGTAAAAGGGGTACGAGGCTTCCTGGGTTTGACGGGGTACTACCGTCGTTTTGTGAAGAATTACGGTGCCATAGCGCGGCCCTTGACTGAGTTGTTAAAGAAAGGGGAGTTCACTTGGTCGGAGGAGGCGCAGCGGGCATTTCAAGAACTCAAACGGCGGATGACGGAGACCCCAGTCCTTGCATTACCCAATTTCAAGGACATATTTGAGGTGGAGACGGATGCATCAGGGGCAGGGATAGGGGCAATCCTATTGCAGCAAGGGCGACCGGTGGCTTACTTTAGCAAGGGGATGTCGCCTAGGACAATGGCCAAATCGGTTTATGAGAGGGAACTTATGGCCCTGGTTCTGGCCATCCAGAAATGGAGAGCTTACCTCCTTGGCAGGAAGTTTGTGGTGCGCACCGATCAAAAGTCTCTTCGTTTCCTTTTGGAACAGCGAATTAGTACTCCGGCACAACAAAAGTGGCTGGTGAAGTTGTTGGGGTTTGAGTTTGACATACACTACCGAGCAGGAAGAGAGAATGTGGTGGCTGATGCGTTGTCTCGACGGGGTGGTTGGGCACAAGGAGCGAAGCTCCTGACTATCTCGGGACCTCAATTTCTTGACATGGCAACTGTGGAGCGAGAGGTGGCCGCGGACGTCAATCTTCGCACCCTCAAGGATCAGTTGATCCAGGGGGAGGCACAAGGCAGTCATTATACGGTGGAGAATGGAGTGTTGTTGCATCGAGGTCGGATAGTAATTCCGGCGGGGTCCCAACTCAAGCAGCAGATGTTGGAAGAATTCCACTCAACCCCAACGGGGGGACACGCGGGGTCGCTGCGGACGTACAAACGAATTAGCGCTAATGTGTATTGGCCGGATATAGCAAAAGATGTGCAACGGTTTGTGGCTGAGTGTGGGGTTTGTCAACAAAACAAGGTGGAGTCTACGAGTCTGGTAGGGTTGCTACAACCATTGCCCATTCCTGAGGCAGTGTGGGAGGACATCTCGATGGATTTCATTGAGGCGCTGCCTAAATCCAATGGTCATGAGGTCATTTTCGTGGTGGTAGACCGCTTGACCAAATTCGCGCATTTCATTGCTCTCAAGCGGCCGTTCACTGTAAAGTTGGTGGCTGAGGTGTTTTGTCGAGAGGTGGTGCGCCTTCACGGCATACCACGGAGTATAGTGAGTGATCGGGATAAGGTGTTCACTAGCCTTTTTTGAAGAGAGCTGTTTCGCCTCCACCACACCACCTTACGGATGAGTTCGGCATACCACCCTCAAACTGATGGGCAAACAGAAGTTCTCAATCGTTGTTTGGAGGCATATTTAAGGTGTTTCACAAGTGGCCAGCCTAAGCACTGGAGTAGGTGGTTGTGCTGGGCAGAATATTGGTACAACACCAATTTCCACGGCGCTACTCGCATGACACCTTTCCAGGCACTATATGGCCGACCTCCCTTAACCTTGTTACGCTACACAGGGGGCAAAACAGCAGTACGTTCGGTGGATATGCAACTCTGTGAACGGGACGAGCAGCTGAAGCGGTTACGTTGCAACTTGGAGCGTGCACAAGAACGAATAAAGCGTTATGCGGATCAAAGACGGGTGGAGCGAGAGTTTTAGGTTGGGGAGCTCGCTTGGTTGAAACTACAACCTTATCGATAGGGAACCGTGGCCAGGCGCGTCAACAACAAACTGGCACCAAAATATCATGGCCCTTTTGAAGTGATCGGCAAGGTAGGTCCAGTGGCATACCGACTGCGACTGCCAGAGGGTTCCAGGGTACATCCGGTGTTCCATGTGTCTATGCTTAAAAAGGTGGTTGGTAGGCGTGCGGTTTCACAGGAACCGGTGGTTGTCAATACGGCGGCAGACACTCCCGAACCGCTGTTTCCAGAGGGCGTGCTGCAAGGTCGCCTAACGAAGCAAGGAGGGCAGCACATTAAGGAGGTATTGGTCAAATGGCAGGGGCGAGACATCGAGGACGCCACTTGAGAGGTTTTGGAAGAGCTGCAAGTTCGCTTCCCTACCTTTGACCTTGAGGACAAGGTCCTTTTTGAGGAGGGGAGTAATGTTACACCCGAGCCTAGGCAGAACAGATACGAACGGATGTATTCTAGAGGAGCTCGTAACGTTTTCGGTTGGGGAAAGGATGTGAGTGCGTGAGGAAGGCTGCTGAGGTGGCTTATAAACGGTTAGGCTAGTCTAGGGAAGAGTGTCTACGTAGTAGGGAGGGAGAACGACCTCAGGAGTTTTAAGGGAGAGGATGGTGAGAGAGAGAAGTACGTTGTAAGAAAACTAATTCTTGTTGTTGATTTACTGGCCGAGCAGAGCTCGTGGATTTTCAGTGACGATTAATGAACCGGATCCTTTGATTGAGATTCCTTCAGTAGTCTAGCTGTGGTGTTGTTCTGTGTTGTTGTGTGTGTATTTTGTGCTGCAGGTTCTCGGTGACTCAAAGTACTCGGTGACCCAATAGATTTCTACGTAGGGTAAATTCTCTTTATTATAGTTTCATAGATCGGTTTCACCGACCTATCTCTATCTAGGCTGTCCTCCTAGATCCTTATGTCTAATTTCCTTTTGAGACTTATCACGTAATCTTTGTAATTATCTTTAGGCTGATTTCCTGGTATCCTGAGTTGGGGTTTAGATCTCTATTCGAGATTTATATTTGAACTTGATTACCATGTTTAACTTTTAAATACACCTCGGGCCTTATACCTTCAAGCTTAACTAATATTAGCCGAGTTGGCACATGGCTGAGCACATGATTGACATACTGATTTACGACATCACCAATTTGATGAGCTCGATGAGTTATCAAAAATATGTGATGCAAATAAATTGAATAAGCAGTACTAATCTTCTTTGAAATAAGTTACAGCTAAGGTGCTGATACTGCTTTTGTTATTTATTATTATTATTATTAATTTTTTTTTGCAATTTTAATCTTGAGATCCGGTCTTGAGGCTAGCTCTTACGTAAACTTTGAGCAAGAACCATTAGTTTCCTTGTTATTTTTCTTTTTAGATCATTTTCTGCTAGACTGCTACCAAATGGAGTTAATCCGGCTAATGTAATTTGGATGAAATTTGGGAAAAAAAGATGAGTACCTAGGAGTACAAATGGAACAACATGCATTTAAAAGATTGATTTGTTTATACTATAGTGTATGGTAGTTGTTGCAAAGTTCTGTATCTTAGTATAATGATGATGTTATGTGCAAAACTAAATGTGAAAGTTCACGTTGATGATGCAGCTTCATTCCATCTTTCTCCACGTGAGGAAAGTGCGGCGTATGGCTGGATTTTGCGACGCCACAAGCACACTAGTTAGGATAGAATGGGTTCTAAATTGGGTTACCTTCTTTGTAGCGAGGTTTGCATCCCACATTCTCATCACTGTCAAGCTCATCTGGGATGCTTCCAAATTCAAAAAAGGTGTGGAGCTGCCATTAGCCCTATTTGGAATGGCCGGAATGAACTTGCTCAACGTCTTCCTCGGATTTGATCTCTTCAATGCTTTCAGAAGGGAGAAGAATTCTCAGCACACCAATTGCCATCGCGAATGACATACTCAGGTCCAGAAAGAGTTGCAATTTATTTCAATTTTTTGCACATAAGTTGTTGTCAACTTGATATATAGAACTATTTTTTTCAGACAGAAAACAGTGATGTAAAAAATGTGTAGAGTGCAAACTTCGCCCTCTCTTCCATTTGTCCTCGTAAAAACCAACATAAATTTACATCGTTTCTTTGTAGTGATTCCAATAACAAAGTTGTAGCTTGGATGTCGTGTGGAGGAGGAACAACCTTAGGAGGTTTTATTGATAGAATCGACAAAGTCGTTTGTTCAACGTGACGTTGCTGGTGAAGATCAATGAGAAATGCCATGTCGTTTGCTTGTTAGACACGACATTGACAGCCGAATCTTTTATAGAGTTTGTTTACCTGTTAGAACAATATTTTATTATCACAATAAAACCTTTTCAGTAAAGAGATGTTGACTTAAGAGAGAACAACATGTCATTAAAGATTTTTTTTTTCCGTTTCATAATATACAAGTTGTTTTGTTGTGAGAAACGAGATGTCGTGCATTGAAAAGAACACGTGTTTATTTGTTGGTCACGATATTGTCATCATGTAGTAAACAACAATTTTTTTTTTCTCTTAAGGCGAGAGAGAGATTGGTGAGAAACAACACGCATTTTTCTCGAGTGTGAGAAACGGCATGTTTTTTTTTTTTTTTTTTTTTTTTATAATTAGAAACGGCATGTTACAATGGTGACGAGATGTTCTCGTTTTCGTAACTCTGATTAAGAATTAATTATCAAAAAAAAAACTCTCGATTAAGAATAAAAAAAAAAAGTGAGGCGGCTTCATTGTTAGATAATTATCACTATCTTATTATATGCTGATCTGTGTTTTTTATCAAATAAAAATTGACCCTTTAGTTTGTCCCTTATCTAAAAATATCATTATACAATTTGACCCTTTCGTCCCTTATCTAAAATTTTTAATCATAAATAAAAGGTGTTGCTTTCATCTCTAGCTGACTAGCTTGCTTGAGCAATAAAAAATAATATAAAGTTCCACCTTAATCCTCGGTTGGGACCAAGTGACCAAGTGCTTCTGTACGTCCTGTTTTTATTTTATTTTCTTTTTCTTTGATATATATATATATATATATATATATATATATATATACACGTTATTTGCGAACATGGTCTATGAATAAACTAATGCAAGGACAATCCACAAAAATGAATGAATGGTAAATCTTAGTCGTTGATTCTATAATTGAAGAATCATGATTAGCTAAGGAGACGAGTAGAAAAATTGAAATTGAGTCGTCAACGCAAAAGACTCGAAAGCTTTTGGCTTACTGTGTCAGAATCAGATTTAGGAATTTTCAAGAGAAAAAAAAAATGCAAATAAAAAATGTTGAAACATGAGTATGCCAATATGCTAGGCTGGAGCCACAGATTACTTCATTAATTATTAATTCATTCATGCCTATGAAAAAATATATTGGAAGATCTACTTTATTGATTGAGAATAATAACTCGTTGAATTAACCGTTCAATTGATGAGAACGAGTCAAGTGGGTCTTCACTCCTCACCCGTACGGACGAATAAAGCCTCTTATAAAGCCACCGCATAAACCCTCATTCTTCTTTTAGTTTTCACTTTATCAATTTTTAAGGGATAAAAGAGCATATAATGTAATGATATAATTAATGTGTTAATTATAAATTTAATATTTAAGTGTAAAAAATATTCTTAAATATAATGTTATTTATTATTTAAAATTTTTAATATGTTATATTTTGTGATAAATTTCTCACTAAGTAAGCATATAGAAAATTTGACATTTAATTGTTATTAGTTGAAATGTTTGTTTTTTTCATGTAATCATTACAACGTTTGCATTTTTTAGTTTTAATTATTTTAAAAATAAAAGTTTATTTTTACAATTTTTAAAACTTAATGATTATAAAAAAAATAGATTTAGAATTTCAAATAGCATTTTGAATTAGATCAAAATCAAATATAACATACCATATTATATCTTTTGATGTTAAATATACAATTGGCATTAGTATTTACTTTGAAGATGGTCTAAAAATGAATGGTGCATTTATAGTAAAAATTGCTACTTTACATTATCTGTGGAAATTATGTTTTCATCATTGTAAAATTCTAATATGGATTAACACAAATCTAACCGTTCAAAAAATAATTAAACTGTTAAAAATAATAGTTTTTACTGTTGGAGTAAAAATGCATTTCTAATTACCATCAATGTTTCCAAAAAACCTAACCAATCAGCTAGTCAATTTCTAATTATTTACGTACAAAATAATACTTAAGATATTGAGTAATATGAAAATTTAATTCACTAGAATATGATTGAAAATAACATTTAGATCTGTTATGCATATATTATGTTCGATCAATAAAATATCAATAAGTTGGAACCACTTACGATTTTCCTGAATAAATTGGTACCATAGTAATATTCAATTATTTTTTCTATCACATAACAAATCGGCTGTTTGGTTTTCTGATACCATAAGCAAAATATGCACACTACCCTACAAGCATTTTTATTTTTGTTTTTGGTGTGAAAAAAGAAAGAGATAAAAGAAGGTGGGATCCAGACTTCAGGGTCCATACTCGGTGGGTTTTCTATCTTATTTATAATTTTTATTAAAAAAGAAAAAAGAAAAAAAAAGAGAGAGTTCAAAGAATTCAGTTGATACCAGATAAAAATAATAATAATATAGAATTCAGTTGATCTGCCATCCTTTTTTTTTTCGAGATTACTAGTAATAACATCTCACCTTAATAATAATATTTTAATTGATATGATTTTTTAATTGATATATCATTATACTTTAATTTATATAATATGGTATAATTGGATGGAAGTAAATGACTAAAATAGTGCAATATTATTAGGATATAAGAATTTGTAGTGTCTGTCTAAAAAAATAATGCTTTATAAATTTGATGGTGCTTAGTACCATACATTAATAGAAGAATACATGTCCCGTAGTACACTTCTCATATGTGAGATTCATTTTTCTATTAGTTATATTGTTTAAATCATCTCTAATATAAATGTAAATACTGATAATAACTTATATTTTATACCACAATTTACATTGTTATTTAAAATGTTACATGTATTTTTTGAATAATTATTTAAGTTTTGAAACTTATAAAATAGTCTTTTAATATTAAAATAATTTGAAAAACGATAATATAGTAATGATTAAGAGAGAAAATTAATACATCACTCAATAATAATCAAATGTTAAAATTTAATTTATACAATACTTAATGCCAAAATTATCATTAAGTATTTGTCAAATTCAATATAAGAAAAATAACATCATATTAAAGAATAATTTTTCATTAAAATGTTAAAATTATAGGCCTCATTAATTTTACCGATTTGAATTTTTAATTTTAATTTTATTATAATTAAAAGCTCTCATAAAAAATCACAACTAAGTTCATTTCACCGATTCAAGTTTTTAGTTTTAGATTTTTACAGTTAAAAGCTCTCAAAAAATGTCATATCTAATTTATTTTACAGTTAAAAACTCTCAAAAAATATAATATTTTAGCTCAAATTAAAAACTTGAATTCACAAAATGAACGAGACTTAATTTTTTTATTACAATTAAAATTTTTCACATAAAATTATATTTAACTCAAATCGAAAACTCAAATGGATCAAACTGTACGAGATATAGGCCCCGTTTATTTCGATGATTCGAGTTTAGAATTTGAGTTTTGATACAGTAAAAAATTTTTATAAATAGTCACATCTAATTTTTTTATTACAGTAAAAAACTCATATATAAAATTATATCTTATATCAAATTAACGAACTAAACGGACTCATAATATGTGATGGCAGAGTAGGCACCGGCAATTTTCTACTGGGAAAAAGACGTAGGGTCGGGTGGGCCAGGACAAACGCAGTAGAGGATTTTGAGTTAGGCGGGAGTGAGGGAAGGGTCCCACCAAGCAGCAGTGGCAGCGGTAGTAAAAAGTGGGAAAGGGTCCACACTCCACACTCCACAGGCCCATCAGGCCATTACTATTTAGTTTTACTGGCACCTCACCTGGGTTTGGTCCTCCAGATCAGAGAATGAGGAAGCCAAAATGGACCCCACATTGGTCAGAGGCGTACTATGTGTAGGCCCCACCCCAGCACATCAGGCTGGCCGCTGGTGCTTGCTTGCTACTTGCTGCTTCAGTGCTTAGCTTTTCTATTTCCCATCACATCATCATCCGCCTGTCTCTGACGCACTCATTTTCATGGTTGTCTCCCTCCCCCACACTCCATCACCCCTCTCTCTCTCTCTCTCTCTTTCCAATACCCGAAATAAAATAAATTAAATTAAATTAAATTATTTTCTCTCTCTCTCCTTTTTTTTTTTTTTAATGTTTGTTGTCCCCGTCATTTCAGGTATCTTCTCCCCTTCCTCTTTCTCTCTCTAACTTCTCTCTCTACAGCCAGCCAGCTCTTGGAGGAGAGAAAAGGGGAGGATCCGTTTGGTTGGTTGGACTTTTTGTGGGGTTGAGTGGCCAAATACACTTTACAGAAACCAAAAACAAAACAAAAGGAAAAAGAAAGTTTAAGAAAGAGAAAGCTTTGGAATTGGAGGTCTTTTGTTTCTTTCACTCTTTCGTTCTCTCCCTTTTCCTTTCGTTTTTCTTTTTTTGGCTGCGCTTCTTAGAAACCCTACTCACTGCCTTCCACCCCAACAACATATAATTCCTTTTCTCTCTTGATCTTCCCCGATTGTCCAGGTTCATTTCCTTTTCATCTTCACGTGTTTTCTTCTAACGGTCTTTCTATTTGTGTCTTGTTTGGCTTTGTGGGTCGTGTTTTTTATGAGCTGAATCTGAATCGGAAGCATTTTGATGAATTGTTTCTTTCTTTCTCGATTCGGTTTGCGGAGAAATTTTGATGGAGTTGTAAGAAGTTTATAATTTTTTTTAAAAAAATTTAGTTGTTTTTCTCAATAATTGTATGGAGTTTTGTTCGTAAGATTAAAGTCATTAGTGAATAAAGTCATACAGACAAAGGGTATTTTTTCTTTTTTCTTCCTTGTTTTTCCTTAAATAAAAAAGGTTAGCGTAATTTATGTACATCGATGACTGTTGATCTTAAGAATAGATGGTGAGAGTACAATTGCTGATTCTGGAATAAGCCAAATGTAATTCGTGGGGTCGTGTGCAATTCAAGAGAGCTGTTCTAGTAAAGTGATAAATCTTGTTCATTTACGATCTGGGGTCTTACTATGTTTCTGCAGTTTTACATTTATTGTCTGCTTGTATTTAGCTCTTATTAGGAATGGCATTTTTCGGTTATGATAAGCATTTATTTTGATTGCAGCGTAATGGTTTGTTTCTTATGCTCTTTAGTCTTACATAATTTTAGTGTTCTTTGATTGTTACTGTTTGCTGGGTCTTGAAGTAAACATAATGCCTAATGAAACCTGTCTTGGGTTTTTTTTTCTCCTCCCAACAAAAATTTTCCGGAGTATGTCATCTTGGAATCTGGATTATTTCCTCTGCTGCACTCTGAAAACTATCTTTGTCTTTTAATGCAAGTGAGCTAATATATTAGGATGAACTTCTCTTTGCAGAAATGCACTTGGCCATATCTATCTTGGAGTTCTGTTGATTCTAATTTCACAGACTGGAATTGCTCTGCATTCCATAATCCTGCTTAAGTAATTAATGGACTTGTCAGCTTCCTTTGGCTCGGTCCGTGTCATTCATTTCATGATTTCTAGCGTTGTTGCTTAAAGCAGCTTGTGATTTTGGTGAACAGAACGACCAGGTTTCTTGTGATTACTCATTGTCTGCGTGGGTTTCATCACGTTACTCATGGACCACCATGATTTAAAGGGAAGTGAAACAAAAAGTAATGCTGGGCGCACCTGTTCGCCCCAGAAGCAAAGCCTTTTAGAGATGGCAAATGGCTTAGCTTATTGTCGTAAAGGATTGGCTGATGCGAATGTTGAGATACAGAAAGATGTGCAAAATTGTAAATGCGAAATTGGTAGTTGCAAAGCTGAAAAGTTTCCAGGAATTGAAAGGAACGATCGCATTGCTCCCTCAGGTTGTGTGAAGGAAATTAGTAATGATTTGAGACCGTCTTTTATTATTTCCACAGTGAGACATTCAGTACTCGAGAGACGAATTCTTCCTGAAGGAACTTCCATGGTTTCTCCCTATCGTAATGGAGCTGGAAGCAACGAGTGTCTGAAGAACAGTGAAGCATCTGCATGTTCTGCTGAAAAAGTTACTAATTTCAAGAAAATTTCCATGAAGTTTGATGTTGACTCAGACCATGGACAACCGCTTGATAGAGACTTACATGCTGGAACGAACGGATGTTGGCCCAATTCAGGTGAAAATGGATCGAGGACTGTTATGCGGGCAGTCTTTCATGATAAGCAATGTAAAACCGAGTCATCGTCTTCAAATTCATCACACATCATTCTCCCATCTTCGTCAAATGACAGCTGTCAGGATACGTCGTTGGACACTCAGTCATGCAAGCGTAGCAAAATTGATGCAATGGATACTTCCACTTGCACCGACTTAAAGAGCAATCTCAAAGAGGCTGCTTTTACGAGTTCACGACCAGGTAGAGCAATATGCAATCCTCAAGGTAAGCTGGAAAACACCGTTTCACCTGGAAAACGGAGCGATATGGTTAAAACTTCTGAAACCCTTGGTGTCAGAACAAGGAATGGTGATAATGCGGCAGGGATGAGTTCAGACAATAACTATGTTACAGTGGAGAATAATGATATTTCGAAATCCGATCTGTTTAAGAAGGGAAATGAGAAGGTTGATGTTCATAGTAAAGCAGAGGTTCTTCATGAGCATGGTGATGCGGTTATTGTGTCTCCCACGGTTGCAAGCGAAGCGGAGCAAGATTTTGAGGCTTCAGGAAGCTCTTCTTCTGCTGAAGGCAGAAATGGTGAGATGTTACGTCAGAGCTACATCGATTCTGTAGATTCTAATAGAAAAAGTTGCTTAACAGAAACTGGGTCTGTGATCCAGCTGTGCAAACAAGAACCATTACCAGACATGGGTGCCAAAGTGTTTCATGAAGTTAATGGCGGTCTTCATGGGCAAGAATTGTCTTGCGAAACTACAAAATCTGTAGGTTTATCATCTTGTGGCCGCGGCTCTAAAATCGATCTTAATGAAGATGTCATTGAACAAGACTGGGAATACCTTGGACAGTCGGGAAAAGAAACTGTAAATAAGTTTGAGGGAAGTGTGTCAAAGCCAAAAGCTGTGATGGCTAAACCAGGAATTCCCTTAGACTTCCTAGCACCTAAAGTGAAGAAAGAAGGGAATGTAGGTGGTTGGATGGGTTCTACTAAAACTAGTGCTTTCCAACCAACTTCAATCGCCAAGAATTGCATCAAAAATAAGGCCTTGTCCACGAGTGCTGAGAATGACAGTGAAATGCCTTCAGTGGTTAAAATGATTGATCTCAATCTTGCTGCTACAGGAGCTGATTTTGATGTTGAATCTCTTGAAGATAAATCTGCCGTAACAGAGTTGAGTTTCCCTTCAAATATGGAGATGGGTTCTTCACAAGCAAGAAAGTTAGATATTGATCTTAATTGCGTTAGCGGAAATGACGATGACTGTCATCAATCGCCTCTTTCAACTTCATTACCAAGGCACTCTGTAAGGGATTTTGATTTGAATGACAATCCAACTTCTGTGGATACATGCAGTGTTGCTTGCCCACCTAGTCAAGGCACCCAAGCGTTGAAAAGAATGGGATCAGATTGTCCTCCAGTTTTCTCTGTGGAAAATTCAAAACACCAAGACTTGAGAAGTTTCAGATCTCCTTATTCTACGGATTTGTTCTCTATGCCGGGCTTTATCCCAGGTCATGTTCAACCTTTTCTGGTTGCAGCACCCAACATGCTTCCCTCAAATGAACAACTACAAAGGGTTGCTTTCCTGCAGCCACAGTTACCGTATGCACAACCCCCACTTAATGCTTTCAGGATTGACCCAAAAGATGGTGCATCGTCAACAGTAGGCTCGCACACCGTCCTACCATACGTGGTGGATCCACGTGCAACTGCCATCATATCACAAGTGTTAGGTTCTGGTGGTGTTTCTGCCTTTCCCAATCATGTTTTCCAGGTTCCTCATGGATCAAATCCCGACAACATTGCTATCACAAGGCCCAATCTTGACGCATACAATGGGGTGAATGTAAACAGGGGAGCAAATGCAGGTCAACTTTGTATGCCTTCGAGTAATTTGACATTGGAAGAACAGATGAGGAGTTTCCAGCAAGTTTCGGTCCCTGCCGCGGGCACGAAGAGGAGAGAACCAGAAGGAGGGTGGGATTCTCCTCAGTTTTCCTTCAGACAGAGGACTTCTTGGCGCTAGGTTTTCAGTTTCAGTTATATATCTTTACAGATTGCGAGTTCTGAAAATTTTAAGCTGAAGTTTACCTCTGATTTCTTATAGTTCAATTGTTTAACTTCATTAAGTAGTTAAGAGTCAGACAAGAAGCAGCCATAAATATTGGTTGAGATAATATGTTTTTTTACATGATTCTTTTGCCATTTCTAATGCTTTCTAAGAAAGAGCTTCTGTACATCTCAGTACTTTGTTTTGTGAATATAATGACTGCCGGTGGATAGCTCATGTTTTAACAATCACTGATTCTAAACAATGGTTTTCACGTATGAAAGTTGATACATTGAAGTTACTTCAGTACAGTTTGTTGTACTAACAAGATTTGTTTTCAATCTTTTAGATATTGCAAAAGCACTTTCTATTACAAACACTGAACAAAAAAATTAATACTCTAATGTTTCATCAGATATATATATATATATATATATATATATATATATTGAGTCTCATAGAGTTAGCAATACTGATATTTTAGCTAGTAATAAATACAAAACACCAACTTTTTAGTCTCATTGGTTGCAGGCTTAGCGTAAAATAATTTCATATCCGCCGGTGAAGAGTTTGATTCTCCCACTATAAGGTGAAGAGTTTAATTCTCCCACCTCTAAGTTTAAAATAAATAAAAAAGAAGAGAAAAACAAATCACCGGGGATCTTGGCAAAACCTTGACCCTCCAAATCTCTGGCAGCCGGAATTGGCCCCCCATGTGCGCGCACTTAATTTGGACCTTACATAATATCATTAACAATGAAGTGAAAGTCTAGAATTCTGTTTATGAAATGATTTCTATATATATTCCACTGATCCTACCACCAAGGACGCTTGTCTTTTTTGTGCATCATTGAATATATGTTCTAATTCGAACACTATTCTTGTACTTCAACTGCCAATGTCTCTGAGAGGCCACTTCAATATAAATCGACGAAATTCAGACACGAATTGCATATTCTCCGATCTGCAAAACGTTGGTTGTGAACAGTAACAGTGCAGACATTAGAGTGGATGATTGGGTGACTTTGAGCAGTCTTTAATAAAGTTACCTCGAACTTTCCAAGCAACATAGTATATGTAACATGTTTCTTTAAAAAAAAAAAAAAAAAAAAAAAAAAAAAAAAGAAAAAACGAGTGCATTTGATTGAATTGGCAGAAGGAAAACTTCTAATTGTTATCTTACCCTGTAAAGGTTATAATATTCCTCGATCCCAAACAAAGGAACAAATTAGATCAATAAACAAATAAAAAGTTGTAATTAATTCCACATACCAAAGACTAATACTTGCCTGTACATGAAGGGGTTTCCTGCTATATCATTTGTTCTTTTGACACGTTACTGGATCATACTCTAGATTGGCTAGACTGAGCAACTGCTAAATTTAGGCAGTCTCTTTCACTTTTATCAATAATTTTAATAATAATAAACAAATAAAGCTATACTATGTAAGAGTGTCGGTGACCATTAACCGTACATATACGGACTGAGGGGTGTGTAGTTTAGGATGTCCTACCATTTGGTGGGCATTCTTCATATTTCATTTGCGCCACTTAGACCAGAGATCTTTGCTGTTTTTTTTTTTTTTTTTTTTTTTTGGTAAAACCTTAAGAAAGGTTCTTTCTTTTTTGACAATCTGTTGTAGTAAGGTATTAAAAAAATATATCAATAAAATACAGTACGACAATTTAATTAAGTTTGGGGGAAAAAAAAAAGAAGAAAGAAAAGTTCATGGCTGTGTTCGCGACAGGGTCTTTTTTTATTTTTTTATTTTGTTTTTTTGAAATCTACCAAAGTTTAAAAGAATAAAAAAAATGGCAAACTAATGGAATGTTTAGTTGGAGGATTCAAACCATAATTTGAATCATGATTTATGATTCGCTACAGTGTTTTCTCTCATAAAAAATACACGTAAATTAAAAATAATTCTAATTCATGAACCAAACGTCTCTTAAGTGTATTGTACTTTGTAGTTTGTACAAGGAGTTTACTCAGATCAATGTAAGCGAGAAAAAGATTAATATGTCAAAGTTTTCGTGACTATATGAGCACCACTTAGATTGATTTTTTTTCTCTTGAGAGAAAATGAAAGTATATGTTATAACATGGTATATACAATCCATGATGGAAAAATATAAAATTTAATCAAATTGCTAAAAAAAAAAAAAAAAAAAACTGTCACCTAAAATTTTTGTCCCAAAAAAATCATAAAACTTAAAAATATATTGAGGGAGGACAAATAAAAATTACTAATTTATTGACGACAAAAGTAAATTTTGAATAATTCTGTAATTAAAAAAAAAAGAAAACAGAACACATGCGTAAGAAAATATAATAGACTAGGAAAGGGAATCAAATTATTAATCCACTTAAGTAGTCTCTTTTAGCATATTCTTTTTTCATGAAAGGGATACGCCAACACCAACAGAGAGAAAAAGAAGGCTAAAAGTTAGCATGTGCTTTTGCATGTGGGTATGATGTACAAACAAAATTGCAAAAGATAAGGTCACACACCACATGAATTCCAAAACCCTTTCATGGATTCCACTCCATTCTTTTTTCGCATATTATTCTCATTAACATATTATATTTAATATTCATCAACCAAAAATAATACCAATACTAATAATATTTTTCATCATATATATCGATGCGGGGTCATGACTTGTGGTTGGATCATGTTTGATTATGCTAAACCACCAACCCCAATCATCGATTCTAGCAACAGATTAAAGATGCATTTAAAAAAGGAAATAAAAATTAAAACAAAATAATGGAATATTGGACCACAAATTCTTTATGTTATTTATGCTCAAGGTTGAACTTTAACCACTCTCATGTCCGACAGATATTATTGTCCGGAACAAACTTGGGAAGTTAGCTCTTAAGTAATAGTTTGTACCAGCATCTCTTGTATTTTACGTATAGATAAATTAAGACACATGCAATTCAGTTGGGTACTAGTTTAGTTTGTACGCTAATGCAAGTATTTTGGAATATTGATATGCACCAGTACCACCAAAAAAAATTATGAGAAATTATATGAGTTTAACAAAAACCCATAAAGAAATGAAACACAATTTTGAACTGTTAAATCAAATAAAAATTATTTACCTAAAAAAAATACAACAAATTCATAAATATTGTAGTTATGCGTATTTTCCTGTTTTAAATTGTCTTAGAAGTTTAATGGAAAATTCTGCAATAAAATATATTAAAAAATATTTTGTAAATTTTTATCAAGTCATTTTTTCATTAAATATGATTCTGATTTTTGAATGGTATAAATTATGTCTTAAATTGCTACAAAAAAAAAAAATTGTCTTGAATGGTAAGATTTTTTTTTTTGTCATGCGCTATCAGAAGGTTTCCATTAAATTGATTTCATTGTCGTCATTTTCCTTAATACATACGTGTACTTTTCTTCAGCTGGGAAGATATGTATGTACTTTCACCGTATATTTCATCGTCAACTGAAATGCTTTCAGATCACTTTACAGTCGTCAGATAATAGGTAAGAAACCCTTCGTTCATTTTATCAATTCGAGTTTAGAATTTGAATTTTGTTACAGTAAAAAATTTTAACATAAAATCACATCTCAATTCAAATTATAAATTCCAATCAACAAAATAAACGGGTCCTAAATTACCACGGGTCTTTAAAAAAAATTTCTTATTTAAAAAAAATTAGCTACTATTTATTAAAAAAGTTTTTTTTTTTAAACACTAATGAAGAAAATCACTGCCGGGTGAAAAAGCAAAGATGAACTTGTGTGACAGACAGAATCACAGTCCAAAGCTCCAAAAGGGATCAAAATCAATCACTCAACTCAACTGTGAAAGCAACCCTCTTCACTTAGTGCCCTCTGACGCAGACTTCCCTGTCCCTACGCATATTCCGCTCCACCTCATAGGTGCCAACAATATAAGTCACGATGTGACGATTCAAAAACAACATAAATTTTATGATTAAGAAAAAAGAAATTTAAGTTAAAATTAAGTCGATCTAAAATTAACACAAAAAATACGAGTCAATTTTAAGTTGGACCCGCCTAATTCAAACACGATACGAAACTCGTAAAAAACTAAAAAATATATATATTTTTCATTTCATATTTTAAATTTTATTATGAACTTGTGATATCATGATAGTTATACTCAAAATCTTATATTATTATTTGCTTAATTTCAATTGATATTATTGTAATTTAGTGTGTTATGAATTTTAAGTTATTTCTAATATGTAAAAAATTAAATAAAAGTATACAATTTTCGTGTCAATTTCGGATTCACGGGTCAATTTTGTGTCACGTGTCATTTTCGGGTCGTGTCGTATCAACTCGTAAAATGGTCGTGTCGTGTTTGTGTTGCGATTTTTAAAAAATTTTGTGTCACGGGTCGTGTTCGAGTTGACTGTAAATTTAAAAAAAATAATTAAAAAACGACACGAACACGACACGTGACACGAATTGCCATCCCTAGGCCCTCACATATTTCTTCAATTTACTAAAATACCCTCCCCTACCATATCTTTTTCTTCAACGGATTATATATAGCTCTCAAATAATCCCATTTGGTTATGTCCAATGGCAGAGGTCAAAAGGTATCACAAGTATCTTTTTAGATATAAGTAATATAATAAATATATTCATGTCCTCAGTCCTATATGTGTATATTGTTCACGGTTGAAATTTCACAATAAGAAATCTCAAAAAAAAAAAAAAAAAAAACCTCATTACAAATTAAACACTCTCGTGGAATAATAAATTAAACGCGTGAAAATAGATGAAAGCCAAAATTTAAAGTGGCTCATTGTAAATTAAGAATTATATCTATTGGAGTAGTTGAGGAGAGACGTATTTGACTATGCAAATAATAGCTTTCAAACATGGATGCCAAAAATATGGGCTAAGGACTCCTATGTTTAATTCCTCTTTTATACACCAATTTGGAGACAGTTTTTACAACTAAACAAATAAATGAGCATTCTATAATCTACTGCTAGGATTTTCTTATGATAAAACTCTTCAATTATCTTATGCGATTAATATTTGAACTCATCTAATATATCCGGTCTTATATCTTAGTTTATAAGATTTATAATAACCGACCTTTTTTTTTTCTCATTGTTTTATCTCATCTGCACAGTCGTTGAGTTGGGTCTTTATGGTTGGGAAAAAGTTTCTTCGATATGGTACAACATATATAATTATATTCTTGTATGTAACTATAATTGATGAAGGGTTTCTAATTTAACGGAGTCACATATCAATCGCATAATGACTGAAAATTTTAAAGAAATTATTACATTGAATATAAAATATTTAGGATTTAAGGACTTTGAATAGTTCACTATAATTATTTTTGTAGAATTTCACGTTACCGTACAATTGACACATGATTACCCTATGGTAAATTTATGAAATTCTAATCAATTTTAGTGTCAATGAAAAAAATATAAAAAAATAGAGAGTAATATAATAAAATTAAAAGTGGGACTAAATTGACAAATTACTTATAGTTAAAGCAGTAATAGTAGTAATAACTCTTCAGAAAAATATGACAACTTGACGTAACTTACCTTGGGTTGGTAGAGTGGGAAAAGGAGAGGAAATAAAGAGAGGAGTTTTGAAGAAAAAAATTTGAATTTTGAGTTGTTCGCTAAAAGATGTATTATATGGAAAGAAATTATAAATCCGTTGGTCTCTCAGTCCAGCATTTTGTAACAATTCCAACTTTAGAAATAGAAAAGAGGCGACAAAATATTTGGCAAAAAAAATAGTATGTGTTGCTTATAAAAAAAAAAAAAAAAAAAAAAGTATGTGCTAGGGGTATTTTTGGCACCGTAAAAAAGCCCATGCTCAGGTAAAGTCCTACATTAGTCCATGCTCGGGAGGACTTGAGCCCATTCTAAGGTAAAATTATCTCCAATGCAAATACAAATAGTAATTATCTATTTAGTATTAAAAAGTATAATATGATATGTTATTTTTATTTTTGTTTCAATATATAATGTTATTTGAAATTATAAATCTACTTTTTTCTATAATTATTAAGTTTTGAAAGTTATAAAAGCAAACTTTTATTTTTAAAATAATTAAAAAATGCAAAAGCTGCATTATTATATGGAAAACTAGCCGACGTTTAGTTCATGTATTCAGAATTATTCTCGATTTACGTGTATTTTTGTGAGAGAAAACTCTGTAACGAGTCACAAATCATAATCCGAATTATGATACGAATCCACTAACCAAACGCGTGATTAAACATTTCAACTAATAGTAATCAAATGTCAAATTTTTTATATACTATACTTGGTGGGAAATTTACCGTAAAGTATAATATATGAAAAATTTAACACAATAAATAACATTGCATTAAAAAAAATTTTTACACTCAAATATTAAATTTATAATTGACACATTAATTATAGCATTGTATTAGAGATGCTTTAAGTTTTAGTTTATCCCACTGCTTTTAGAAACTATAAGTAGTCATTTTAATTTTAAAGTAAGTTTTAATCTCATCCTTTTTGTGCTTTGTGAAAAAGAAGACAAAGGGATAAAATACGCTTAAATAATTTCGGAAAAAATATTTTAAGAAAATTTTTATGTTTCTTTTTTAAAAAACATTAGGGTCATAGATCTCCGACTAGAAAATAATGTTATAGAGTTTTAACATATATATGTATATATACCTATTTTTAAATAGATATTTTTAGGGTAGGGTATGAGCAAAATACCCTAATGCTAGGACTCTGTTTAAAACTATTAAATATGTATAATATTCTATCAGTTTTCCACACTTTTTCATTTTGATTTGATTTTAAATAAACACAACGCTTAGGAACATGCACTACGGCACTCTATTACAAAAAGCTCTATTTTAAACATTTCTCTTATTGTAAAACTAGAAAGATAACTTTAAACTTTAAAAGATATGTTTCAATTTCACCTATACCTTTTGAACAAATTAAGAAAAGACAAAAAGATAAAGAAGTTATTTTTTTTTATTACAGTAAAAAATTCTCACATAAAATTACATTTTAATTTAAATTAACGAATATATATGAGTTTTTGATGCCTTTATCTTTTTTTTTTTTAAATATAAGCTCATCTTCACCGTATTACTATTCACCCTACGAAAAGTACTGCCCCCTATCATAGACTTCCCCAATAAACTAACACCACAATTTGAAGTGTTAACCACGGAACAACTACATGCCAATGGAAAACTACTTTGCTTTGTTCAACGTGTTGGGCTTGGAGTTTGAACCTTCAAAAGCGAAACTCACAAGTTTAAACAGTTTTATGTGAAAAGAAAAGTAGGACCTTCTTAGCCGAGTCGACTCATATTTGTATCTATATCCAAAAAGCTGATTCGGCTCCCATTTAACCACCAAAAGCTAGATCTTTATTGCAAATTTACTATTATATCTGTGCATATTTTTTTCCTTTCTTTTAAGGAATTGGGTCGCTCAAATAAATGTTACGGAAAAGTAGGGACAATCTTTATGGCTAGACAAAGGAAGAATTATGATTTTGCTGACCTTTTAGGCCAAAGACTTGACAACCTTCGCAAAACAGTTTAATAATTGAATATTGATCTGCCTAATTCCTTGACAGGGAGAGATCCTATTGAAAAGGCACTCTTGCTTTCCTTCAAAAAGAAAAAAAGAAAAAAAAAAAAGAAATTCATTCATTCATTCAATATCATGAATGAAGTGACATCACTTTCACCACCCCTAGTTTCATTTTTAGCACTCTCCCACCTTCACCAAAGAAATATCTCTTTCAATAGGCCTACGTTATAATTCTAATAATATTAAACTCTTTTTATTTTATCAATTTAAATTTAAATTTTATTATGATAAAAAAATAATTAAATTTAATTTTTTTATTATAATAAAAAATTTTAAATAAAATTACATCTTAATTTAAATAAAATTACTTTTTTTTAAATTAAAAATTTAAATAAATAAATTAAAATATAATTCACTTTACAGATTTAAATTTTTAATTTGAGTTAAGATGTGATATTTTTTAAAATTTTTTTATTATAATAAAAAAAAATTAAATATGAGTCTTTTTAAAAATATTTTATTATAAAAATTTAAAATTAAAAATTTAAATCGAAAAGAAGAGGCTATAAACGGGCTCCTCTCTCAAACAAAACTCAGTGTTCGTTTAGTTCGTGTATTTAGAATTATGATTCAGAATTATTCTCATTTTACGTGTATTTTTTATGAGAAAAAATATTATAAAAAATCATAAATTATGATTCAAAATCAGGAATGAATACAGAAAACAAACGAGCTCTCAATAAGTGTAATAAACCCATTGGAATCTCTCACATCAAAGCCATATGACACCAAAGGCTCCACCTCACACAACACCAAACACACTCTCTCTCCTCTCTCTATAACATATGTGATATGTTTATGTCTTCATACTCCAAATGGACATCTCATCTGCAAAACAGCCTACTGTTCTTCTCTCCCTCACCTCTCTGTATCTTTCCCTCTTTCTTTAGACCAAACGTCGTCGTATCAAGTCATCCTCAGCCCACCATTTCCCATTAACCGTCATGACCAAACTCATCGTCGAAGCCCACAATGCCACCGACCTGGCGCCCAAGGACGGCGAGGGCTCGGCCAGCCCATTCGTCGAAGTGGACTTCGACGAGCAGCGACAGCGGACCCAGACCAGGCCCAAAGACCTCAACCCACAGTGGAACGAGAAGCTCGTCTTCACCGTCGCCGACCCCAACGACCTCCTCCACAAGACCATCGACGTCACCGTCTACAACGACCGTCTCGGTAAGAGTCACCGGAAAAACTTCCTCGGCCGGGTCAAGATCTCCGGCGCCTCCGTCCCCTTCTCCGACTCCGAAGCTGTTGTCCAGAGATACCCGCTTGATAAGCGCGATATATTCAGCCAAATCAAAGGCGACATCGCTCTCAGGATCTACGCCGTTCCCGATTACAACGAAACTCCGATCGCAAGCAATGTTGAGGCTGTAAAGAACTCCGACACTCCTCTCCGAGAAATCAACCCTAACAGAAAAATCGAAGAGGAAATCGATCAAATTCCGGAGCCGAATTTCGCCGCCGACAACCACAAGACGTTCAAGAAGAAGAAGAAGGAGAAGGAAGTAAGAACTTTTCACTCGATCGGAACCGCCGCCGGCGGTGGCGGAGGCGGAGGTCAATCTGCTCCTCCGCCGTCGGGGACGTTTTCCGGCGTCCCGTTCGAGGCGCATCAGAAACCGGCGCCGGTTTTCGAGACGAGGAGAGATTACGCTCAGGCAGGGCCGCCGGCGGCGGCGGCGGCGGTCATGCGGATGCAGGTTCCGAGCCAGAATCCGGAGTTTGCGCTGGTGGAGACGCGGCCGCCGGTGGCGGCGCGGTTGCGGGACCGACGAGGGGGCAAGACGGG